GCCTAAACCTCCATCATGCTTGCTCCTACACACCACCTCTCACCTAAGCCTATGGTTATTTTTCTCCTCCCCTGGCTCCCAAAGGAAATCTCTCATTAGTTTTTCCAATTTGTTAGTCACCCTTGCATTCACCTTAAAGACCGAGAGGTAATAAATGGGAATGTTAGCTAAAGTAGACCTAATTAGGGTGATTCTTCCTCCAAGAGATAGATAATTTTTCTTCCAAGATGCAAGTCTCTTTTCAAACCTCTCCACAACAGGAGTCCAAAAAAATCCTTTTTGAGGATTATCTCTTAGAGGAAGACCAAGGTAATTTAGAGGCCAAGTCGACACTGCACATTCCAAAATGTTTGCACACGTAAGGATCTCACTTTCCCCCATATTCACACCTATAACACAACTTTTTTCAAAGTTCACTTTCAGATTTGACATTTTCTCAAAAAGTTGTATTGTGAGTTTCAAATTCGTAATCCAATTCAAGTCCCCTCCCTCACAAAAGAGAATCGTATCATCTGCAAATTGCAAATGTATAAGTGTTATGTTCTCCCTACCAACTCTCCACCCTTTGATTAGACTCTTAGAATCTTCTCTAGAGATCAGTCTCCCTAAGACTTTAGCAACCAAGGTGAACAAGAAAGGAGAAAGGGGGTTTCCTTGCCTAATTCCCCTTAATGTCAGAAAGAAGTCCACCACCATTCCATTCACCAAAATTGAGTAGTGGCAAGTCCTAATATACCCCAACACCCACCTGCACCCAAGGTTCAAAGTATCGACATGTATCAGCCCGTATAAGCCGATATGTATCATTCTAGGACCCCTCCGATACGCCCCTACAGTGGGTGTATCGGGGTTCTGACTAGTTTAGGGGGTGGAGGAGCCCTAAACTGCCCCCCCTGAACTGGTTGCGAAAAAATAAAAAAAAAACGTGAAAAGTTGTATCGATTTGCCCGATATGCCCATATCGGCATATCGGGCGTATCGATATTTGAACCTTGCCTGCACCATCTTTCTCCAAACCCAAAGTTGATCATCACCTCTAGTAAAAAGGACCAATCTATCAAATCATAAGCTTTTTCCAAATCTAACTTGCAAACCACACCCTTTTTCCTTGACTTCTTGAAATCATCCACACTCTCATTTGCTATAAGTATTTGATCAGTTATCTGCCTTCCCCTCACAAAAGCTCCTTGGTTATTTTATACAATGGTATGGAAAACATGCCTAATCCTAAGGGACAACACCTTCACAATAATCTTATACTTACTATTTACTAGATTGATTGGTCTATAGTCCTTTGGGTGGGTTGCTTCTCTCTTCTTGGGAACCAAAGCAATGAAGGTGGAATTCAACCCTAGGTTAATCACTCATCTTCTATGGAATTCATAAAAAACCAGCATTAAATTCTCTTTCAATATCTCCCAACAATCTTGATAAAATGCCATCATAAAAACCATCCTTAATTCTACTATCATCACTGGCTACACTATTTTTTTCGATAATTGAGAGATAATTCCATTAACCAAAGAAGATAAGCTATTGGTGGATTGGCCATTCCTCCTTGGCATTTCGGTTATGATCAATGGTGTTGCTAGAGACTTCTTTCCATCAAAAAGAGGATTAAGGTAGGGAGACCCCATTTCACCATTCCTTTTCACAATAATTGCTGAAGTACTCAACATAATGATAATCAAGACTGATTTGGATAACTTATTAGGGGTTGGAGGGTAGGTAAACATGAAGTAATTGTTACCTATCTATAATATGAAGATGGCGTAATTGTATTTTGTGATGGGTGTATGAAATTGCCTTGAAAGTTTAAAAGGAACTTGTCAACACCTTTAAGAGGGTTTCTATTTGAGGGTGAATTGGAGGAAAAGTTGTCTTGTAGGGGTAAACATGAGAAAGAGGTTCAAGTGTTGGCAGGGATTATTGACAAAAAAAAAATGCTGGTAGGGATTTTAGGATATGAGGTTAAAAATTGGCTACAAGAGTACTTTGGTCTTCCACTAGGGAGCGACCCGAAAGCAAATGGCTTTTGAAAACCTTTGTTTGGAGAGATTTGCAAAGAAGCTGACTCTCTAGAAAAGGAATTACATCTCAATAGGAGGGAGGACACCCCTAATTAAATCTACATTGACCAACCTAGGCATTTACTTCTTGTCACCTTTTCATATACCGATTAAAGTGGCTACATAATTAGAAAAGTACACAAGGGACTTTTTGTGAGAACCAAGGGACAAGAGGAAGGATCATTTGGTGAAGAGGGAGCAACTGAGTAGATCTAAGGAATAGGATGGTCTAAGTATTGAGAATCTAGTTCAAAGAGACATAGCTCTACTAAGTAAATGACAAGGTCATTTGAAGCATTAATGTTGTCATGGAAAATGACTAGGATGCATAAGTGGCTCCTCATATTCTTCTCTCTGAAAAGCAATTGATATCTTTCCATTCTCTCTTTACCCTCTCTCTCTCATGTAAAATCTCTCTATCTCCCACATTCTCTCTTTACCCTCCACCTTTCACATCAAATCATTCTCTTTCAATGTCAATTCTCTCCTACCTTTTCTCTCACAGGATTCTCTTTATTATTCTTTACTCTCTTTTTGGTTTTTACTTTTTTAGCTTGTTTTTTCTTAAAACGAGAGATTAATAAAAGGGTCATTTACTTGGAGACCCCCTATAATTTCTGAAACACCCTTATAATTTACACATTAGGTTGTGTTTGGTTGCAGTGCAAATTTTTTTTGCACCAGTACAAAACTGCAAATCCTTGTATAATTTTGTTTTGAATCTTACTTTTGTCTGCTTCATGTTTTAATTTACTTCTTTTATAATGCAATCAAACAAAATATGCTAAAATTTGAAACAAAAATATGTCAAAATTTACACTAAAATCATTTGCACTGCCATGGTTTTGCAACAATGCAAATTTATTTGTTTCAACCAAACACAGCCTTAGTAAGACACCCCAATACTTTGCAATTTGCAACCAGTTTACTTAATCCAATTTTCGTGAGAAACCATTGGTATTTCGAGATCTGTAACCTCATGAAAAAAGTATAAAAACCCAAAAGTGCCCCTAATGAAAATCCAAACTATGAGGGTGCCTTAGTAATACACATATTGTAGGGGTTGCTTTAGTAATTATATAAAATTAGAGGGGGTATCTAATTGTCCAAGTAAATGATGCTTAATAAAATATATCCAAAGAAACAAGACAAAGAAGATGTTGATCCTAGGATTGTTCATGCCCAAAAAGCTTGAGACGTGAGACACTTCGACAATACAATAAATTTTTATTTATTTTATTCAATTTAATAAAATATTATTGAAACATTTATTTATTTAATTTAATTAAAATATATTATTATTTTTATTTATTCCTTTTTTATTTTATTTTTAAATTATTTATTTAGTTATGAATATTTTACTAACAAACTATTATTACTAGCAAAAAGGTAACTAGATTAGGATTACCAATGGGTTGGGTCTACATAATGGATCCAAACCGACTGAACCAATTATAACAGTTCCAGTTCTATGATTTTGTCTCGATTAATGAGTGGGTTGGTTTCAGTTCTTGCTTGTCCAGAACTAATTCAAACCTGAATATATATATATATATATATATATATATATATAATTTTTATCATATGTTTATGTTTGAAATAGTAAATTTGATAGATAATAAATAAGATAATATTAGTTAAAAATGTTTGACTTATTAACATAAAAATAATTTAATATTTTTCTATTATTTTTATTAAGATTATATTATCAAAATTTAAAATTTAAGTTATTATTTGAATAAACAACTATTGTTTATGGTATAATTGGGTCTATAATTTTGTTCCGATTAAATAATCAGTTTGATATTAGTCTTACCTAGACCCAACCCATTGACAATCGTAACTAGACTAGAGCTTCTCCACTTTAGTTACTTATTATTGTTAAATAATATAGTTATAGTTATTTTATTTAATGAGATAATAATAATATAACTTATTAGAGTAAATTAGAGATAGGTACCCTATACTTTGGAGTAGTGACAGATTGGTACCATGAACTTTCAATTATAATGCCATTGTATTTTCCAATGGCATTTTTCCTATTTCGCCCTTGCGAAACAGGAAATTGGCTTCCATCAAGGCAAACATGTTCCCACACCATTCTAACAGCCTTTCCTAACCTTGCATTGGGAATATCTCCCCATGAAATAAAGTACATAAATACGGAGATATTCTCAATGTAAGACAGTAAAAGCTACTTGAACGTGCTTTACCTTGACTGAAGCCGAACTAGCGAAGCAAGGGCTTCCCTGCTAGTTGAGAGGGAAAAAGCTTGTTTTTGTTGGTGATTCCTTAAATCGTAGCATGTGGCAGTCCCTTGTGTGTGCATTAAGAGAGTTTTTGATGAACACAAGCGGAGTTTTTAAGGTTTTAGGACGACACTCAAGAACCCAAGGATTCTACTCATTCATCATCATATTCACATTAAGTTGTTAGTTAGGAACTAACATACGTTATTTTCTTTTCTTCCACCAAGAGCTTTACGTCGATTTCTGGGAGAACCTCACTAATTCATATCCAAATTTATCTATTTTTCTTGGAATTCTTGTATGTAGGAGTACAATTGCTTTATCGAGTTCTTCAGTTCACCATTGATTACCAACAGTACCGGAGCTCGGAAAGAGACATTCAGACTCGACCTATCCACGGGAGAAAAAGGTAAAATAAATTAAAAAGAATAGTTTGGATATTTAGAAAACTTTAAACAGTTACCTAGATGAGAATCTTTCTTGAAGCTAACTGATGGAATATTAACGGAGCGGGGTTTTTGTGTAATAGCCAAAGTTCGGGGATGTTTGTCGAAAAAAAAGTATCAAGGGTCTTTATCAATGACCCCATAATACGGGGCGCATAATTTGCCCAAAAATAAATGCTTATCAAAAATAACCAAAAAGCATAAGTGATTCTCAAAAATAACCATAAAAACAGGAAAATGCCACGATTAATTGCAACCCAAGATTTCAGAGAGAGAGGGAAGACAGTGACGAGGACAAAGACAGAGGAGAAGCATAGTATTGGGACTCCATTATATCCCACGAGAAATCATCAGAGATGATGCTGTTACAGTCTCCGTCCAGATTTCTCCTGCAGATCTTGACAGATCAAGTGCAAAAGTAAGCCCGGCTGCTCTCCCTTTTCCCCACCTCTCCTTTGCAGGAAATTTAATTCTGACTACACCAAAATGAGTAATTAGAGATGACTCCAGAAAGACGTTCTTCTCTCTTTCATTCACCATTTCACTTCACCAAGGCCATTTTTTTCTTTCTTTGTATTTATAGGTTATTGTTGGTCAGTTGCCGGCTGATTAGTTTTCTTCTAGATTGGTTTTAATGATTTAGGGTTTTGTAAAAGGAAATATAATCGAACAACCATGCTTTTAGCAGTTGAAGAAAGAAGCTTACCTTCTTGTTATCTACATCCTCTACTATCCTTTTCAACGGTACAGGATAACGTACTAGGAAAGTTCTATCTATTTTTTGGCTGTTCTCCATGCAATTCTCGAAGTCAGCCTTATGCATTTAGTTGCTCTGATATTCCTCCAAGGAATTAACAAGTTTCAATTTGTTCCACGAATTTTTGTGCTTGGAAGCTTACTGTTTTCCTACCCCGGTGATATGATTTAAGAGAAGATTTGAAAGCAATAGGTGTCAAGGAGAATGTAGAGTAAATGAAAGAACAAGCGGAATCTCAAAATAGGCACTTGTAATAGGTAGCGCCATTATACAATAAAAAATTTCAGTTATTGCATTAATTGATTGAGGTAGTTGGGGCTCATCGAGTTCTCAGGCCTTATAGTGATTGTTTTTTCCATTTTGAGTATCTAACTGGGAAATATATAGTAACGAATTTAAACTTGGCTCTGTCATTATCATGATCTGGCACTGTATGCTAATGCTTCGGCAATTTTGAAATGCTGATTATGCAGTATAGAGAAAGGAGTTGATCTGGATTTTCATTCTGTTGAATTTGATGATGTTCGCTACCATATTCAGGTGATATGCTAGTCCCTCCCTCTGGTCCATTCTGCATTGCAATTGGAATGATAATTTGTAAATATTGGATAGAAGAACCTTATTTATGCTATTACCTTTGGTATTTTTGTATTGAATGATTCTTGTAGAACCAACGACACTTACAGTTTAATTCGCAAGTTGTTTTGGATTGCAGGTGTCTACGAAGTCTCCTCAATTTGTGCTTTTATCAATGTCATTACCTACTCCACCGCCAGAAACTGTTTTCTTTGATGGGCTTCCCCTTGGAGCCATAGAAGCTGTTAAAGCAGCATTTGGTCAACTGGTGCAGATTCATGACCCTCCAAAAGATGGGTTTAATTTGACAATGAAATTCAATTTGTCAAAACTTCCACCAGAAGAAGGTTTAACGAGTTTCTTTTCCAAGGTCATTATGAACTTGCTGTATATAAGCACATGGGACCTGTCCATAATACACCACCATCTTCAACTTTCATCTTCTTTCCTACTTGCTTGTAAATCTTTCTTCATCACAAGGATCAGTTTTTCATATCTCGATGGGCCCATTAGTTGCCAAAATTTTGTGTGATGATATAAACATATCTTCTGAGAAGATTTTTGTTTGAGCCGATCATGCATTTGAGCTAGAACATCTCTAATTCTTTCTAGATTGTGCTATTCCTTTAATACCATGTAGGCATGTAGGGGTTTTTCTTATTTCTGCATTGCTTATTGGAACTAAAGTTGTAAATTTCTATCTGAGGTGTAGAGGTTTTGGTTTAGCAGATAATTAAAAGAGGAGTTAGAATGCTGTAATTACTGGATGATTGCTTCGCAAATTTCACTGCTGCTGTTAGTTGTCAAGAAAGATTGATTGCTACATACTGCAACTCAAGTTGCCAGAATATTTGTCCAGGACATGGCCAAGCTTTATTTATGGCACTCCAAAGTCAATTACTACTAATAGGGACCTGGCTTTTTGTGAGTAGATTCTACTCTGAATACTTCTGTGTACAGGGGTCTCTTCTACACCACAGCACTATCACCCCCAAACCGACGTGAAGTTGGAAGTGGTAAAGGGATGCTTGAACACTTATTTAAGGTGCTTTGCAGGAAAAAAAAGCAAAGCAGTGGGTTAAATGGTTGCCGTGAGCTGAATATTGGTACAACAGCACTTACCATATCTCTACTGGAAAGACTCCCTTCAAGGCTTCTATGGAAGGGATCCACCAACTTTACTTCCCTGCGAGAATGAACAACTGCTAACTCAGGATGCTATCATACAATCCCTCAAGCATCTTAGGAAGAGCTAGACAGACTATGAAGGTTTACTATGACAAAAAACATCGAGATATCACTCATCAGGTGGGGGGTCTAGTCTACTTAAAGCTGCAACCTTACAGAAAAAAACTTCAGTAGCCTGTTGAGCATGGTAGAAGTTTTCACCTTACTTCTTCAGCCCTTTCCATATACTAGAAAGGATAGGGGAAGTTCTTATTGCCTTGACCTTCCAGCCACGTATTGACTTCACTCCATCTTTCATGTCTCCTTATTGAAGAAACACTTGGGGTAGGGAGCCATCACACAGTCCTCATTATCTGCCTTCACAGGTGAAGGGGAGTTGATAATAGAGCCTCTCAAGATTGTAGACTTTCAATGGGTCAAGATTGGTAAGATGGTATTTCAAGAAGCCCTGGTGGTTTGGGCACACCTTCCTGTTGAACATGCCAGCTGGGAAAATTATTTGAGCTTCCAGCAACAATTCCATCACACCAATCTTGAGGACAAGGATGATCTCAAGGGGGGAGGAACTGTTAGGATCCCATAGCCCATGCAGCAGCCATTGCCGACCCAAGCCCAGAGCCAACTTGCTGAGTCTAGCCCAGATGTTCAAGTTCCAGCTGTGAAGTCTCCTTCCAACGACAAACTTGGTCCACCTGTCAGATTTGTTTGTGTAAGGGAGCCACATCAGTAGTTAGTTGGAACATTCATGTAAACATGAGCTGATAGTTATATATATGGGAAAGGCTGAAGAGAATAATCATAGCAACAATTTTTAGAACCTTCTTCTTCTCTTCTCTAGAGTTTAATTTGTCTTCGAAGCAACTCCTATGTTGGGTAGTAACCCACCACAATAGATGTTTAACTAATGGAGGGCCTATTTGTGTCAAGTGAGGCTATCCAATAGGACATAGTAGTTTTGAAAATTACAGGGTATATTTAAGTAGTTTAATTAAACCATATGGTATATTTAAGTAATTAATCCCAATAAAAGAAGGTACATGGTAGACCCTACCCCTTTGCACAAGATCATTGGAGAGAATCCTTATTAATCTCTTCCCTAGTCAATGAATCTGCAACTGAGTTGGCCACTTATTTGAGATCTTTGAGGTCCATTGGGGGGCTTCAATATTTCTTTTTACAAGTCTTTTTTGGAAACTGTCAAGAGGGATGTTATGGAGATGTTTAAGGAACTATGGGCTGAAAAGGTTATTGAGAAGAGTGCAAATGCTATTGATCAAAAAAAAAGAAGAGTGCAAATGCTACTTTTATTTCCTTGGTTCCTAAGGTGGAGAATGCTTCTGGGGTGAAAGATTTCAGGCCATGTAGTGGTAGGTCCTACTCAAATGGCTTTTGTTGAAGGGAAAAAAAAATTTGGATGGGGTTTTGATTGCAAGTGAATGTGTTGATCCAAGAATTGGAAGTGGACAAGCAAATGTGAAATGTAAATTGATAAGGCTTATGACCATGTCAAATGGGGTTTTTTAGAAGAAGTCTCGGATAGAATGGGATTTGGGGAGAAATGGAGGAGTTGGGTTTTTGCTTGCATTTCCTCAACTTCACTCTTGGTTTTGCCATTTTGGTCAATGGGGGGTTTCTTAGAAGAAGTCCTGGATAGACAAGGTGATCCACTTTCCTTGTTACTTTTTGTCTTGGTGGCAGAGGTGATGAGAAGACTGTTGGTACGAGGGGTGGAAGAGGGGCTGTTTGAAGGCTTTGCAGTTGGAAATGGAGAGGTGATGATTTTACACTTGTAATTTGCAAAGGATACATTGATTTTTTTGGATCACATACCAACTTGGAGGCTTGTGTTAGATCCAATGATTTAAAAGGTGTGCCTTACATTTTAGGGTATGCGCCTTGCCTAGGTCCTAGGCGCAACCCTTTCAAAAGGCACATTGAGAACCCCCTTTCAAAATTATAAAATCATTATTTTTTGTGTGAGAAATAAGAATTTAAGATCCTAACATGGACTTATTTGGGCTTGCCTTGAGGGGCGTGGCACAAAGGTGACTCGTAAAATTAGGAATGTAATATGTTTTACATCACATTAGCTACTTGAAGTAATGCAATTGAGGGAAAAAAAAGAGATTGTGGGTTTTACATGCTTGATTTTATTTTTAAATTTTCATTGAATACGCTGTACATGAATGTTTATGTATTTTAATTTTAATAATAGGTTTTTTAAAAAATTATTTTAAAATTTAAGTTTTAATTTTTATTAATGTTATGCTTAATATTTTTTGTTATTTTTTTTTGAATTTTTAGTTTTTTGTTTTTGTATTCTTGTGCCTTGCTTCAAAATGGCGTGCACCTCGTGCGCAAATTGGCCCCTATGCCTTTTTTGCACCTTGCACTTTTAAAACACTGGTTAGATCAATGGGATGTTTGGTGGGGGAGTTCTCTTTTACTTATTTGGGACTTTCTATTGGAGCAGATTTTCAGTGCATTGTATTTTGTAGCCCATTCTTGATGGAACTGATCAAAGACTGGTGAGTTGGAAAGGGAGGTATTAGTCATTGGGTGGAAAGATTACTTAAATTAAGAGTGTTTTATCTAATCTTCTAGTTTACTACTTGTCATTGCTTAAGGTGCTGGCTTTAGTTGTTGAGGCAATGGAAAAATTGAAAGGGAGTTCCTTTGGAATGTTAGGGGTCACGATTCATGAAAAGAAATTTCATTTGGTAAATTGGGAAAAGGTTTGTAGGGATAAGAAGGATGGGGGTCTTGGGATTAGGAGAATAAGGGCTTTTAATAAAGCACTATTAGGGAAGTGGCTATGGAGATTTGGGAGAGAGAGGTAGTACAGGCCAAAAGTCTCTAAATTGGATATAGGAACTTATGAATTGTTATATGTTGTATGTAAGGGGTCCTCGCAATTCAATGCCTTGAGTCAAATACATTAAACATTAAATATAAGTATAGGACATGAAGAGAGAGTCAAATTGGTCAATGGATTCTATTTCCGTATCCAATCAATAGAAGCAATAATCCTCTACCTGGACCTTAATAGAAAGAATAGACCAACACCGACCAAGTAGAATATAACTTAATGAGATAGAAATCCCGAGACATTCTACTATATCTGAATCTGATTATTGACTATATATTTTTGATAAATTCATAACATTTTTTTTTTATTTCTATTTGAAGGGCTACACAATGGGGGGTAGGTAGCCCATTCCCCAACCCATAACCCCCCAACCTAGGAGCATGCGGGATTCGATCCCAAGTCTCCGCTATGACTAGTAGGAGACCTTACCAACCAGCTGGTTGGCACCTTGCCTGATTACTGACTATATTCTAAATCACTAAGAAAAAAAAAGACAGACCTCCTCTTTGATTTTATTATATTCATTTGTTTATGAATATTCATTTCATACTTTTATTTTGTTTTCATATTTATATTGAAATTGAAACATAAAAAATCTAAAAACAAAACTAGAATAGAAAAAATGTTCTATAGAATATAGGATATATATGTATGAATATGAATAAATAAAATTCAAAATAGAATTCTATATCTAATTCCTATATATATATATATATCGATTTATAATTTATATCTATTTTGAATTCTTTGTTTTATATTTTATTTTCAGAAGGGTAATCACTTGCAAATATGGAATTGGGATTCAAGGGAGGTTAAGTCTTCATTTGGAGTTTGTGTGTGGAAGGGGATAATGAATTTCCATTTGACTTTTTTGAATTTTGTTTCTTTCAATGTTGGGAATGGTGGACACATTAAGTTTTGGGAGGATGATTGGTTGGGGATTGGGAGGCTTTGTGATCTCTGTCCAAGAATGTGTAGATGGAGTAGAAAAACATCTCAATTGGGCAATTTATTAACTCTGGATTTATTTAAACAGTTTTCCTTTGATGATATTTGGAGGAACTGGGTTTTAGTGGCATCTGGCTCGGTGCAAAAGATTAAAACAAGGTCGGTGTGGACACCTCCTCTTGAAGGTTTTCTAAAATTAAATTTTGATGGGAGCAGTCAAGGCAACCCAGGTCCTTCGGGAATTGGAGGAGTCATAAGAGATAAGGAAGGGTTTATACTTTATACTAGCACTTTACTCAGGACCGGTGGGGGTTGGAGACTCCTTAAAGGCCGAACTGTTTG